TTTTTAAAGAGCCAAGACAGATTGTAAATAGATGTAAGCTCAACATACATAAAGCAGTAAGTGAAAATGCATAGCTAAATCAACACCAGTACTTGGAGATTTTATCTCAACCCTCTTAACAATAGGTAAGTAAAGCAGACAAGACTCAGGCTAAGGAATATATTCTCTAAATACCACATCTTAAAAATTGAGAGATAGTTAGAGGGAGAAATGTACACCCGAGAGAAATACAACTCACTCTCCTAGCACACATGGAATATTGATAAAAAGTTAATCATATATTTGCCCCGCCCAAAAAACTGAATGAACTCCACAGCATTCTATTATCTATATGTTTGACTACATTGCACTAAAATTAAATCACAAAACAATAACTAGAAATGCACACGTCTGGCGGGACGGTAAAGCTCAAGGGTAGAGCGCATGCTTAGCGTGCATGACGTACTGGGTTCAATCACCAGTACCTCCTCTAAAAACAAATAAACCTCATTACCTCCTTCCCCCAAAATTAAAAGAATACAATCATAAATGAATTTTTTAAATGCACATGTCTGGAGACCGTGTCAGTGAAATCACTTTTGGAATCATCAGAGGATTCCCCAGAGTTCAGGGTTGAAAATCAAGAATTTAGTTAAGAATATTGAGTCTGAGATGGTTATTAGACTTCCAAATAAAGATGATCATAAGAGAAAGGTAAGTTTTCTATACACAAGGCTTTTATTGGATGAATCAATGTCCCTATGGTCTCTGTCCCAAAGCATGGAAGAAACGTTAGTCATTCTATTACTACACTCTGTTAGTTACATTTAGAATTTTGTTTCATTATGAAATAATTTAGATTCACTAGGCTTCTGGGTGTTTTTAGGCTTCTATTTTTATTTGATTTTCATCCTCTTTTCCATATTTTTGTATTTGGTATTATTACAGTTAAATATTTACTTTTGTTTAGTAATATATGAACCTGATTAAGTAGAAATTGGAGTAGGTGAATGGATAGATAAAACTGTGGTAAATCCGGACAATGGAAGATTATTAAACACTAAAAAGAAATGAGCTATCAAGCCATGGAAAGACATGGAAGAAACTTCAATGCATATTATTAAGGGCAAGAAGCCAATCTGCATGGGCTACATACTATATGATTCCAACTCTGTAATATTCTGGAAAAGGCAAAACTATGGAGACAGTAAGAAGATCAGTGGTTGCCAGGGGTTAGGGGACAGGGATGGATGAATAGGCAGGCCACAGGGCATTTTTAGGGCAGTGAAATATTCTGTGTGGTACTATACTAATGGATAAATGCCATTATCTATTTGTC